TTTAAACACCCACAAAATCGTAATAAACCCTTGTCTCGAGCAAGACTCGAGTAAATGTTGTGTTGGTGCGGGAAGGGCGAGGAGGACACGTGTGTGTATGTGTCTGTGCGTCCGAAACGTCCTCCTCTCATTGGCCGGCCACCCAAAATCTTTCCGGAGGGGGTGTAAAGCCCGGTGGCGCCGGCGGCCGAGCCGAGAGAGTCAGGGCCCCGGCGCTCGAACTCGTCGCGAATCGATTTGTTATGGCTGGCTGATCATCAACAAGTGGCCAGGGGGGGACTTTGGCTTAATTTTATAGCGCCCGGATTAATTTTCAAAAATCAATTAAAATGGTTGAAAAATCGAGTTTTATCAAATTCAAATTCCAACTCGGAAACCAGCCAAAAATTACGCAATTTACGTATGAACAAGTGGTCGGGTTGATAAAGCAAATTCGGAAAACCTTACCTGAATTTTATAGCTTTCGAATTTCTCAAAAAAATCAGTTTGGCCGGATTCAAAAATCGAATTTTTCTGTTTTCAATATTCTAGCTTTAAAATCAACAAAAAATTACCCCAAAAAAATCAATAATCCGATGAGCCAAAGCCCGGCCGCCCGGATCGGCGAAGAGGGATGGGATCAGTCAATTCTTGCGACGAAATCTGTTGAGGGCACTCGAAAGCCCGGGCCCTCTCCCTGGGCCACAGAAGCCATCCCCGACCACTCCAACCGGGTGCCCGGAAATTCGTTGGCAGCAGTTCCACACGGCATTCAGGAGAATGTATTCTCGTGAAAATTAGGTGATTTCGCTTCCGGCTCGGTGAAAAATCACGCTGCTACTTGCTCAAGCTGTCAGAGAAGCTACAGAATGCTCCAAAAAACCTGAAACGAAAATTTTGAGAACCAGCTGGGCTCGTTTGTGGGAGGGGGGGGGGGGGTAGTTACAAAGATGGTTCAATAATTTATTATTTTGTGGGGTACATCATCGCGATCCGGTAGAGCAGCAAAAAAATTCAGAATTCTATTACTAGATCAAAACACAAGAATTTAAGAAAATTATAACAAAAGCAAAAATATCCTTGAAAATGGCTATGTTTCGGGATGTTTCGGGAGGATTTGGGATCGATGTTTCTATATTTTTCGACATTGTGCTAACACTATTCGATAAAGCATCAAAAAAGATACTAAGCGGTCTATGAACAGCTCAAAATCATGTAATTTAATATAAGAGAAGCTATCGACAAAAAAGGTCCCCGCTAGGAACCTTTTTGATTATTGAGAAGCTCTAGAATGTTACAGAGTAGTTGTGTCATGGTTTCCGCGCGTCAGCTACAAAATCGTGGAATTTTTGGGTTATAATTTACATTTTTTAACCCGAGACCAAACGCCAACTTTTCACGTCCAACCTATAACCAGCCTATCGACTCCGATCAGCTGTGGGCTTCTTTCGACACGCCCGTCCGGCGGAACAACATCTTTTTGAGGCCTCATGAAAATGGCCGAAGGGTTAGGCGCGATAGCGTGATGGGACGGCTATTACACAGCGCACACACACACATACAGACAGACAGACATCCACAACAGCCAGCCAGCCAGAGTCAAGGAGGTCTGGCCGGGGTCCCGCGGCGGCGAGTCGCCTCGATAATTGATCACAATGTCCCGTTGCTTCTCCATGGCCCGGGTTAGGAAATATTCACATAGGAGGGTTAGAAAAATTAGTAGAACATTTAGCGAAATTTTTACAGCTATCTAGAACGGGAGAAAGCGGGACCAAACAGCTGTGGGGTCGCTGGTAAAAATCTACACTGCCCATGACATACGGACTAACGCGGTCGCGCACGTAGCTTTTTGAAAAGCCAGGCCTTCAAACAAATAAAAACTTCTGAATTTTGTCGGAGCGACGGTCTCTGCAAGTTTTTTAAGATTTGATGCGTTTTCTATTGTTAAGTCGGTCGGAAAGAAAACCTTCATGGATCGTCAAAATTGCCAAATAGCTTAACTTCTACAGTTCTTGGAAATTGTACAGCGAACTCTTTAGAAGGCGGCAATTCTGTAATGGGCGTGCGCATGATTTAAAAAGCCGCTAGCTACTCTAGAGGATTGCGTGCTAGCTAAAGATAGGAGGCCAAATAAGACCCAAAAAAGAAAGTTCGACAAAAGGCCCGGCTCAAAAAAACCCTTGAGGGACAGAGCGCAGTTCTCTTTGCAGACCTGTCAAAAACGCCTCCACAGCTCCAAGTAAATACAATCAAAGAAAATTCGTTGGGGGTTTCGATGAGTCAATCGGATCTGTCTGGGCCGGGCCTTAAAATTTTAAAGCGTATCGTAACGCAGCGTAAAAAACTATTTAAAAGACTATAAATACTCGAGATCCAGATGCTTCGATTAAAAATTCATATTATCTGGTAAAATCATGTTTTTCATTACATTCTTTTTATATATAAAGCTGAACTCTGAAAAAATCAAGAAATCCATCAAGTTCTAGACAATTCCAGAGCATAAGCTTCGAAACGAACACCTCCACCGGGGTTGGGAGGCAATTAATCCGGGTGAAGCGCCCCCGCGCCGAACTGTGCGCCCCCGGGCGACGGTTGAGCCGATCGGAAGCGCAATTCCCGGCTCATGCGCACACCCTCCAGCCGGCGGGCGCCAATTTTCTCATCTCCACACCGAGGCGCACAGCCTGAACCCTTTCTATAGATGCGGCAAGGTTTGGAGAAATTGAGGTATATTTATTTATTGAGTGTGACCCTCAGCAGGATTTTCAGAAAGGCAAGAAAACTGTGTAGGGTACTATCTTCGAACTGGTCGGATTGTATTGTAGCGTATTTGGTTCTTTCGCATTATCGGGGGACCAAACTTTTTTGTATAAGCCTAGAAATGCCTATTAATTGAATAGTAAAAGTTTGAAGTCTTTTTAGTAAAAACCAGGGTTGAAAAGCCGCTTCGCGACTTTTCAACCCTGGCGCCGTCCCAAAACCATGAAATTCAACACTTTGCATAATCCGCCCGAAATGCGATCAGAAATAATGAAAAAAGGCTGCATCTCTCACGTTATATAGCCTTCCGCCACTTCCGGAGCATGCTAATCGTTTCCTAACAAAGAGGGGTGACCAATTTTTCAAGAAAACATGAATTTTAATGTCGAAAACAGTATATTTTCAAAAACTTGGTATGTGTGCAGTCATCCCTAGACCATTACGCATCTAATGACGTATCATATATACCTTTAAGTTCTCCCCCTAATCCGATACTACTGGAACACGCTGACGGAAGTTGCATGCAAATGCACACACACACACACAGGAACTATTTTTTTATATATAGTTGGATAGTTGGATAACTAGATTTCAAATAAAAACTTCGGGTCGGAAAAACTCTATATTTTTTATATTTTAGCACAACACCATATTAACACAATTTTGCAAAGTTTTTATGCTAAGGAATAGAAAATAAAAAAAATTAGAAACAGCTCCGCTTTATATTTGAAAAATCAGACTAAGAAAAAGTTTGTTCCCCGTAATGCGAAAAACCCAAGATGTCAATAATTTCTCAAACATCCGCATCTCTATGACCTCTTTCAATATACCCAACTCGTGTGCGAACTCCCTCAAAACATAAATTTTGTGAAGTTTATTAGTGTCTAAACGTGTCAAGCGAAAGTGGGGGGCTTGGGGGCAAACAATTGTCAAATACGGGGATGGGTAAGTTTCGAATCGAGAGAGCAGTCCAATCAAACAGGTTCAATTTCTTCACGGGGCTGTTATAGACTACAATAAAATTCAAACAATCAGCCTCTTGCACACAAAAAAAAACTGGGCGTGCAACAGGGCAATAGAAATCTTTGGGAATCGGTGGATGGGGGGGGGAGGGGGATGGCCCAAGGCACATGAGAGAAGAGGAGGAAAGGTAGCCGCTACAATGTGGATAGGCGAATTTTGTGGATAGTAACGGCCGGACCGGAAACCGGAGGCGATAAAGCCGGCTCCCGCCGGTGCAACCCCATCTAACGGATCACAGTTTGCAGAAAATTTGGGAAGCGCGCGGACCTAGGTTTCACGTAGAATTTTCAACAGGAAACATTTAAAATTCCGGACTACAAAACCAGGGGCTACACTTCTGAGCAAACATTATCATCATCAAGACACGACAATTCACTGAAAAGTAGGGATGGCTGTTGGGAAAATGGAGGGAGGGCGGCGAGCTATCATTTTTTCGAAAATCATATTTCGAAATGACTTTTCCAAAAGTATTTTTCCAAAAAGTCATATTTTCAAAATTGAGAATTTCGAAAAATTTGCATTGATATCTCATATTCGTTTAGGCCATTTCCTATTGCTGGCTGGGTGCAAATTCTTCGAAACTCTGATTTTCGAAAAATTGAGGTCGAAAATACAACTTTTTGGAAAATGACTTTCAAAAAATAATTTTCGGAAATATGATTCTAAAGGGGGCTGATTGAAAGGACCACCGGGGGATACAAGCGAATCACGGGCTCGATACAATAGCATTGACTCGCCATTGGGGAGGATGACTAGCGTCGACTAAATATATAGAAATTGTATAAAGTGCCATATAGAAATCTAGGGGAAACCGGGTGATGGACGAGAAAAATAAGAATACATCTCGGGGGTGAAATACTTTTGAAACAATAAAAAGTGTGACTCGGTCGTGGTTCTAAACGGTGGTGATGGTGGTCTAAAGGAGTGGGAAAGGCAAAATAGTAAAATAGTCCGGGGCGGAACCTGACAACGCAAGATTGAACATAGTAAGAAGCCTACCCCGGCTGGGGGAAAGTCAGAGGAATGGGCACCCGTTCGCTGGGACAAGGCCACATGAAATGAAATGGGCAAAAAGGAAGATAAAAACAAAAACATTGTTTACAGGCGCTAAACCGGGATTCATAAATCGGACGAGGGTGGAGGGGGACATGTACATACTCGGGTTTCTTCGTCATTTGGAAAGTAAAGTACAGTAATGTATTGGCCGGTCAGTGTGGGCCGGATATGTCGACGAATCAGGATGAGCTGCGCTCCGATCGGGGATCCGGGGATTCGCTCCGCCGCAGTACGGTGTACACGGATTCGCAGTCGGCAAGCCTGTAAAAATCAATATTATCAATAACATTTATTCAATCAATTAAAAATCAAGGATTATATATTTTTGAGCTTCATAAGTGAAATAAAATAAATTCCATAATACGATTAACAAATTATATTTGCTCAAATTTCATAATACTAACCGATCCAAGAGCGGCAAAACTTCGAGCAGCTCGGAATCGTGCGGGTCGTCGAACCACGTCTGGACGGCGATCTGGAAAATATACGTTATTCAGAATCCAATTTCATTTGCCCCTCTACTATTAAAAATAGAATTTAAATTTTAACTATCTTAATTTTCATCGAAAACACATCAGTTTTTTATAAAAAGCTTACAGCATTTTCAGGGTGGAATGCATAGCTGGCCGGCGAGTTGTCCATGATCAACGTCTTGTTCAGGTCACGCCCGAGCCGAGCCAGGTCTTTCACGTAGTTCCCCTTGTGGAACACGCAGGCCTCGCGGAACAGCCGCGACCGGAACACGTTGCGCTTGTCGAGGAGGTCAGAAACAGGGTCGGCGTACTAAAATTACTCGTTTAAAAAATGAGTAGAAATTTATTAATTAGAAAATTTAAATAGGTTTACGCCCCACAGTTACCCCAAAAATCAGAATTCGCTCCCTCACCTTGGCAAGGCTGGCGGTAAACAAGATGCACTCGTATTTCTCCCCGACATGGGCAAGGAATTCGTCGACGAATGGGCGCTTGAGCACATAGACCTGGTGGATGCACCCGTCTATCTCGACCGGGATGACAAAGTCCGGGTTTTTCACTGGCTGAAATGGGATAAATAATAGAATAGAAATAGAAAATATCGATTTTTTTTAAACGAAAGCTAAATAGCGTAACGTAAAAATTCGGATTCTCCCGGAATTACTAATTTTTTTCAGGTACTTTCAAGCGATTTTAAGGTAATTCAAGCGGATACCTTAAACGACGAGTGGACCAACGTCTCGTCCAAGTCGATCACCAGACACTTCTTGTTGATGTCACGCTGACGGATCGGGGGCAGCAAAAGCTTCTCGCTTGGCTAAAAAACGTAGTTTAAAACCGTATCCAAAAATTCCCAGAATTCCCCCAATTTCCCCATGACACTTGGCGGTTGTGGTTACTGCCCAAGAAAAGTTTTTCCCCGGAATTGCCCCCATAAAATTTTTACCGGGCCAATTCTCGGGTCACATCAAAGCCATCTGTGCCCTTTCGGGCCGCATGTGAACCAATTTTGACCTTTTTTATGCAAAACGTAGCCCCAAAGCCCCCGGTTTTACAGAATATTTTCCATTCAGCTACCTTCTTCCGGCCGATCAGCCCCATGCGCATGATCTCGGCCACCGACGGCGTCCGCCCGGGCGCGATCACCAAGTTTGCGATATAGCACGCCGGGTCCCGCAGCGAGTCGAACTCCTCGGAGAACGTCGACCGATTGTCGACGTACACTTGGCGCTGCATGAAGCGGCGCGGCGGTCTCATTTCTTTAACAGTAACAGTTCGTAAAGGAGAGCCGTTGGGCCGAGCGACGGATGGGGAAGAAGCCAACGCGCCCGAAGGAATTCTCTAGGAGCCAGATGAAAAAAAGTGGAGGCGCGCTGTTGTGGTCAAAAAAGGGCTGCCAAATGCATGGTGGGGGGCGGAGGGAGAGGGCGGAGGGATTAGAAATTCATGAAACGATCTATTTGGAGGCAGTGAGGAAGTATGCTGTCCTAGTCGGGGGCCAGAGATGGCGGGCAGTTCAGGGAATACGGTTAGTATTTGCAAAAAGGCCAATTTTGTCGCGAAAGCGGCTGTACAGGTTTCTATTCACACGGTTTCAATGCGCAGATTGTATTGCGGCGAGAGAGAGAGAGAGAGCGAGAGAGAGACCGAAAAACTGACTAACCTCGAACCGTTTTGAAGCACTTGGCTACCCGGAACACAACGCTGGGGAAAGTGACAATAATATGGTAGACTTGACAGTACTCGATAGAATCCTCATCATCCGGTATCCGATCCGGAAGTCTCGGGGTTAAGCGAATATACACGGATTCTTGAGCCCCTTTCGGCTGAATTGAGGTGAACGCCTTGATCGGCTCTGGTATCCGGATTTCCGGAAGTTCCAGCTGTTCAGCCCAACCACTCGGAGAGGCAGACCGAGAAGCGGCGGTCGAAGTGCAAGGGGAAATTGAGGAATCACGAATGGGGAATGTGTAGCGCCTGCGGATGCGCGGGCGACTACGATTGAAGAAGCGCCTGGCCAAATCCTGCGGGGTACAGAACACTGGTTCGCTTGGGATTCGGAGGTGTTCCAGGGGGGTTAGAGCTGATAGGCCGGTGTCAAGGAATGAGGTGGCCAGGGCGGCTGATGGCCTCATCGTGCAAGCCATCTGTAGTGATGGTTTTCTGAGTTTTGGGAATAGCAGGTTGGCTTGTGGAGTTCAGGTAACCGAGCTTAAGATTCATCCAATAGAATAGTCTGTTTAAAAGCTGTTTCAAAAATATGATATATCTGAACCGTCGTCAGAGGCTCGCGGCTCTAGTTCTGATTTCTGGATTTAGAAATATCAGGCAACCTTCAAAATCCAGGTAGTCGTGTTTCTGACCCTCAGAAACAAAATAAACAGCTTTAAAACCTGTTTCAAGGAATATGATATAGCCAAATACTCGCCAGAAACTAAAGCGCCACTGGAATGCCGTGGAATGTCAGCAATAACAATAACTCCGGAAACTGTGAATCACAGCCCAGTCGAGTTGAGTGCCCCTCGGAATGCGACGAACACCTCAGACAGCCAGGTCAACCCCGGGGCGGTGGAATTGATCTGGGGCTCGTCTTTCGAGGCTTGCGTCGTCTCGTTTTTTGAGGCGGCTTGAAGAGAGATGGGTGCCCGGGAGTGGGGAGGAAGGCTGGAAGTTCAGCGCCGGCGGGTTCGTCAGTGCTCGAGAGCAACAGCTGCCCCGAGTGGATCGGTGGGGGCCCGGTATGAAGGGTGGGGGCCAAAGGTGGGGCGTTAAGTGGGGGGAGCGGGAAGCGGGAAGGCAATTCGCGTGCGATTCTGCTGCGTGCAGCCATATGGCCCACCGGCAGGCAGGCAGCGTGAACAGTGGTTTCTCGGCCTGGGGCCCTCGGGGCATGACTCGAGGCCCAAAAAGCAGACGAGGCTGGCGGGGAACCGGTGGGGAGCAGGAGATGGAGGGCCCGGAAATTGAAAAACACCTGACGCCCCTGTGGGGCAACTGGAGGGCTGAGCAAGGAGGGCCAATGATTGTTGTGATCCGGGAAGGGAATTAAACGGAGGGATGGTGAAAAGGGGGAGCATGTGCTAATTCCTGAAATTCCTCAGCGCAAGGAAGCGGCGGGCTTGGGCAATTAGTCTAGTCAGCTGGGCGAGAGGCAAAGCTAGACATAACACAACAGTCCTGGATAACATGTAGGCGCTATAAAGCAGCAGGATTTCATAAAACTTTGCTAAAAGCTTGATATCGTCAAAAAATTGGGATACAAAAGTCGACGAATTTCACCGTTAAATTTCTTGGTTCTTTCGCATTATCGGGGGGGGGGCAAATTTTTTGTATTAATGTAGGAATACCTAGTAAATCAAAAGTAAATATTTTCCTGATGGTTTTAGGAGAATAAAACTATTATAGCTAGAAATGCCATCTGAAAATTTTGGAAATTTATCAAAAAGTCGACATTCTGGTCGAAAATATATGATTTTTGTATTTTTTTAATGAAAAATTTGTAACGTTTTACGTTTAGTCTTAGAAAGGCTCCGGCTATTTATATTGAAAAAATTGGTTCTCCTATGAAAAAATTCTCCCCCTTCCCCCCGATAATGCGAAGAACCAAAAATTTTTTATAAATTTCTGATGAATCCAAAAGTTAGAAAAACAAGCGCCAGACAAATTTCAAGTATTCCAAAGTGGCAAGGGCCAATTAAGATTCATAAGGAGCAGAAAACGTCGACCAGAGACCGGTGCCGAATCAAATGAGCGCCGACTGGTGTGGGGTGAAACCTGTTTGTTCTTGCGCTCAAGCACATTGAGTGCAAATGCGAGCTTCGGACGGGGGGATCCACAGGAGGGGGGCGCGCGGCAAAAAACGTGTTACAAATCCCAGATCCTATCGCCTCGTGTCGAGGAGCTGCCAACGGCATACCAAGAGGGTTGCGACGAGAGGAAGGAGTTGGCATGGAACGGGACAAAACTCGATCGTTCCGGTGCAATGACAGTGGAAAGTGGAAAGTGGAAAGTTTAGAAGTCGGAAAAATGCAAGAACCCAAAAATCGGTTCTGCACTGTCAGCGGGAGGGACCAAATTTTTCCGTGATTCTCTGCGACCCTATAACCAAATAACCATTTTAATAGCATTTTATATAGGTTTTGGATATAAAAACAATGTAAAAATAATAAAACATTTGACTTTTTCATCAAAAATTTATGAAAAATGACCCAAAAAAGTAAAATATTTGGAATTTTTTGTAAATTCTTAAAAATATGTTTTATAACTTTCTAGCAATCAGAAACTGCTAAAAACACGATAAAAAAATGTATTAGATATCATTAACAGGTCGAAATACACCCCCCCCCCTCCCGCTAACAGTCCAGAACCCAAAAATCGATGCGCCCCAAAAGCTAATTCGATAACCAACTTTTCATTTCGTGAGAGAAGATGGTGGTGAGTTCTCCGGGTGGATGGGGGAGAAGAGGAGGCAAATTTTGCCTCCCCCCAAAAAACGGAAGCACTCGAAGCAATGGGGCAAAAACGCCGGAAGCTAACGAGGCAGGCTGGTTGCCTGGAGGCAGCCGAGGTGGTCGGGCCAAAAGCAGAAGTCACGTCATCTCATCGCTGCCCAAAAATGGTGGATGAGGCCCCCGGGGAGGAAGACAAAAAGGGATGGATGATTATTGGCAGAGCAGGAAAATCGGGGTGGTGGTCAAGAGAAGGGAAGCGGGGAGTGGTGATAAGCAGCGGCTCGGAATTTGGTTGAATCGGAAGACGAGCTGGAGCAGCGAGATAAAGAAGTTGCCGCCAATTTTTGACAAAAATTTCGGCTTTACGGCTGGTACTTTTTTCGTATTTATTTGGTGGATTATTCGAATTATAGAAGCTGGCAAAAAACAATCGAAACGACCTGCCAACGATTTCTCGAAAAGTTAAAATTATCATCGATCCCTAAATAGTGACCTGCTAAAATTAAATAAAAACTAAAGCGCCGGTCGAATTAAAGAAACTAGGAAGTCAGGATTACAATTATAACAAGGCGGTCTTGCAAAATGAAGATGAACGGGGAATTAAAATAGGAGTAAAACAACGGCCCAAAAAATCGAAACGGGATCCTTTTTCAACATTGCGAGAAACAAAGCGCTGCTGGCTCTGTGTGTGTGTGCATGTGCCGTATTTGCGTAGAGATCCCGTTATGGGCTTGTGTGTGCGGGCGGGGGGAGGAGGCGGGTGGATGTAGAGGGACAAGGCGAGCCATTATTGGAGAAACGACGATGTGAAGCCAGAGAGCCGGGTGAATCGGGACGGGGCAGACGACACGCCGGATGCAGAAGGCCAACCGCCCGAAAAGGCATGGTTGAAGAAGAGGTGGACAGCCCGACATGCCGGCAGACAAACGGGCCCACACACACGCCATCTTCAACGACACATCGCATAGGGCAATTGCTGGCCCGCTTGCGCCTCCGAGGGTCCAGATAAATCTTGCACTAGGGCGGTAGATGAGGCCGAAATGGCAATTTAGTCGGGTTTTTTGGGGCAAGGATTCAAAGAACAGGCTCGAGATGGGGATGACGATTACACTCAAGGTATCGGGACGGCCTTTAAAGGAGAAATTCCGCCGGGTCAACGAGTCCTGAGAAAAAGTCCAAAATACCGACATGCCAATTAGGGGAATCTGTTAGGGAAATCTCGAATTTTCAGAATATCGAAGTTAGAATCTCAATTTTAGAATCTTGTATAGTTAGAATTTTTCTCCGCAGCCGGAAGGTTGCACTTCACAGAAGAGAATTTTGGGCGTAAAATTAGCTGATTCCTTATCGGGATTTTAGCATGTCGGGATTTTGGCTTTCGGTATTATCGAGACATGAATATTGGAATTATGGCCGGAATCGCACACTACAAACTTTAGAAAAAAACGATAGATCATGCATTTTTTGCCGGAAAAGTGAAAATTCTCCAAATAAGCTAACGTAGCAAAAGGGACGTTCACGCAAGAATGACCGATTTCACACAAAAAATCCAGCTTCCTCTCTATTTGGCGCCCGTTTAGGGGGCAGTCCAAGGCATTAAAGGGGCCCTAATCCGCGCGTGAATGCACAAACAGAGAAACTTTCTTTTCACCGCCAGCAAACATCGCCTACAAGTAGTCCAGCCAGTACGCGCCGCGCGTAATCGTGAGTGTTTTAGCGAGGGTGGTGGGCAGGGCTACGAACCCGTTTTTGGGGGCAACTCGAAAATTTTTGTCGACCTCCCCCGGTCACCACTTTCAAAACATTCAAAAATCGCAGCTATAACAGCGCCGCAGGCCGCAAAAAATAGAGAAAAAGCGCTAGAAACGCTCAAATTCATGTAAAAACATCACAGAAAACGCGCCGCAGGCGAAAATTTTATATAGACAGTTGACACACTAATGAAAAACAGCGCCGCAGGCCAAAAAAATTTTGGAAAAATAGGCTTCATAGAAGTAAAAACCGTCTTAAAAACAGTAATAAACAGCGCCCAGGCAGAAAATTTTTATTGAAAAATCATAAGGGTCCCCCTTATGAACTTTTCGGCCTTCGGCCGATTTTGGGGAGGGCAACTTGCCCCTGTTGCCCCTCCCCTCGTACGCCCCTGGTGGTGGGGGTGGTGAACGAGCTGTTTGCGTTTGGCCATTGCCAATTCGTCGAACCGTTCAATAGCACGACGGGGGCAAAGCAAACCACTCAATGCGCATTTTTGGTTTCGTTTTTCAGCACTTGGCCTTTTTGCATTAGTCATGATGTCTTGGTGAGCGGAAGTAACAAGATCAAAATTTTATATTTCAAATCTCAGCATTTTCCCTTAATAACCGCAAACGTCAAGGTATCATTTACTGATTAAAACGAGCGCTATTTTTCTATGGATGGCATTTTGCATTTGTCATGATTGTCTCAGAGAGAAAATAGCGCAAAATTTGAACTTTCCAAATACCGACGTTTTCTGACGATGAAATGCGTATTGCCGGCGACCGGAAGGAAATAACAAAATTTGCCGCTTAAAATCATCCCAACTTTTCAAAATAACCACAACCGCCAAGCTATCATTTCTTTTAACAAAATCCCCCTGAAACCCACCTTCAAATTGTCGAAGAAGGTCTGCAGGCTGCCCTGGCTGTTGGGTGTCACGGGGATCCCGTTGGGCGTGATTTGGTGGGCCTGTTGATGAGCCTAAAATTACAGAATTAGGTTTTTTTACTGTTATTTAGCCCAAATTAAAAAGCAAACATAAAAAGGCCCAGAAAAAAGTTTGATTAATATTTACCGTCTCTGCTCTTAATGACTCACGGTGATGCTGGAAAATTGCCGGGGGAACGCGAAAATTTTTATTTACCTTGACAATGTTTGCCGACTCGGATTTCTGGGCATCAGTCGGTTGGGGCACGGTGATCGTTCCATCTCTGTTCACCTGAAAAAAAATCGATAGTTATAAACGATAAAAATAATAAGTTAAAAAAGAGTATGATAATGCAATGAAAAATTAAATACAATAAGCTCGAGACAAACCTGCGTGATCAAATTCTCGACGCCGGTGGACGGCTTCCGCTGGATGGGGGTGGGAGCCGCCGAGTGTTCGCCCTGGTTGTTGTTCTGCAGCTTTTGGGTCGACGAGGTGCTGCCGTTCGGGGACCCGCCGGGGCCTCCGACCACTGGTATCAACGGGCCGCGGTTGGTGCGAACCGGTTCTAAAAATAAACTTTATTTTTGAAGGAGGAATTTTCTTTGCTGATAAAACGAAAGTAGCTTTTTGCATTAAACGGGTCATAAAATGAAAAATTTATTTTTTTACGTACTTTTAATGAATATAACTCAGACATAATTTTTCGAGTAAAGCCTAAGTAAAACTATACTTTAATCAGTTCGAACCTATTTTAAAAGCGGAATTTCGGCTTTCAAGCAAAAAATTGGTATCAAGAAATGGACCAAAACTTTCCCCCTAGCTCATAGAAAATCATAAGGTCTCGTTCCAGACCTCGAGGGCAAGTTAGTCCAAAAAGTTTTGACGCAAAGCCGGGACCCCATCCAACCCGAGTAGTTCCCGAAACTCGACAGCTGATAGGGACAAGAACCGCGGGTCCAAAGAGCCCTTTCGCTCAAAATGGGGAGCACTCACCAATTTCCTGCTGTGGAGTCATGCAGCAGCAGAACGACTGCATCCAGCGCCCCCATCTCGGCGGCTTTGTACGCGAGGAGGATTGACGATTTTTCTCTGAAAAGAAGCGGAATTAATCAAGTGGGACGGATAGGAGGGGGGCAGGAATTCTGGCCCGGCTGGCCTGCGGGGCCCCGGAGCTCGCGCTCTCATTAAAATGCCTTAAGCCCCGATGTCGGCTAGACCTGGAGACTCACCCCGGGGTTGTCAGGACCTTAGAAAATAGGTTGTCAAAAGTACTAGGTTTTTATGTCCCACAAAGGCGGTGGCGAGCTGCCCCGAAACTTACATTGGCATTTATTTTTAAATTTTACTTTTTTAAACCTGATTTTTAAAACCATCCTAACTAATTTAAATTTGCTTTTAAAAGTAATTCCTTGCGAACTAAGACGAGTGTAGTCAATTTGTATCGGAAATTCGCGCAAATATTAAAATTAGAGCCGTTAAATTAAAAAAAACTCTAGCAACACTTAACCAAAAACCCTCAAAACACACACTACCAAAAAACTTAATAAAAACCTCTGAAAAACCGCGGTGGTGTCGAGCGCCGAATCTGGGTTATCGTCGGGTCAGTTTGAGTGGTCCAGACACCGCTGGTAGGCGGATTCTGATTATAGCCCTGGCCTACAGGCCGACTCGGTGCCGTCTTCTGATGGTATCCATTTTCCATAGCCCTCCCATTCGTGTAAACAACCCCATTCTGGGGGGCCCTCGGCCTGCCCACTGTATGTGCGGCTTGGCTGGGGACATTCTGATATAAGCCTTCTGGGCTGCTCTGTCTCGGCAAGCCTCTGGGCGCCAATTTGGGCGACCCCTGCGGCAGGGTCAGCGGGAATGGTTGGTATTGCCGACGAGTTGCCGGCAGTGTCGACGATTTCGAATTGTGTTCCGGATAATAGGCGGTCACCGGCTGGTTCCAATATAGGTGGTTGATATTGTTTGCCGGTTCAACGGATTTCCCTTTGCCCCAGTACCCGGGGCCATTCTGCGTGCGCAGCGGGGCTGCTCCCGTGTAGACCATACAGTCGACGGCCGGAATTTGGTGTCAAGCGTAGCGGCGCGGGGGCTCGTCAATTAGCAGGGGGAGCACGAAATATGGCCGTTTTGTCGAAAAGTGGAAGGGAGAGGCCGATTGTTTGCCGCGCGTGAAACGAGCACAGGCAGGCGGGTGGTTTTTGGGGGGAGAACCGTCGAATCGATTACGGGCGAATTTTCAGCAAAAGTTGATGCCCAGGGAAAAGGAGAGGCGTATTTGGGGGTTGGGTCAAAGGGCACCCACCCAGCCGGCTGGCAGAAGAGATTCGGGGGGTATAGACAGTGGAGGAGGGGGCTGAAATCCGGGGCGAAAAACCGGACCCAGCAGGCGAACCTTTAGGCGACTGTGTGTGGCCCAAAAGCACACTCTCCCCGGGCTGCACACCCACACTGCAAATAGACTGTAGAAGTGGGGTACCACCGGCGGCAAATTATTGCAATGCCGGGGTAGAGCTTGGATGAGTAAAGCCGGTGCCACTGGCTTAGAAATAATATTTAATAACTATAGCACAGCAAAGTCGTTGTCGTCAGAATAATGGCGCGCCGGGCTCATCCACGAATCAAGGGGAAGAGCCAGCGAGACGCGGCGGGTTGCTGAGGAAATGTGTGGGACCCTGAAATGGATGGGCGGTTTTTGCCGCGCGGTGCACACCACCCGAGAGAATATCACGGCGTGAAAAAGGCGATGGCGCACATGGCCCCATCTGAGGACACGGAATTCGGAAAAGCGTGAAAAATAGCGGGAATGCTGATAGTGATTCCCCTTTGCGGGGGATGGATGATAAAGAGGAAATGATGCGAGGGTAATACCATGGCCTATTCGGTATTGAAAAATAGAGGATGAGAAGAGGAACAATGAACTATCGTTAACTTAATTAGCCGATTATAGTGACTGAAGGGGCGGGCAAGGCTATGGATTTTGTCGATCAAGGATTACCCAATGTTTTTCCGCGCCTGCTACAAGCAACGCGCCACTTTCTCGCCTAATGAGACTCTCCTAACAAGGAGTGTCCTTTTGGTGTCATCGGCAAAACGATTCGAGACAGCTATTCGATAGGTGAATTCTGAACAAGATGTGTTGTTCATTTTTGCGGAATGGTGCCCCTGATTTTATAACATTAAAAAACTGCCGGCGACGCCCATACATTGGTGCCTGGGGAGCCAGTTGTTAAGGTTTCGCGCTTGGTTTTTTAATTCTATAAAATCAGGGGCAGCCATTCCGCAAAAATGAACAACACAGTCTTGTTCAGTTCATTCTCTATCGATGAGCTGGGTCTCGTCGTTTTGCCGATGACACCAAGGACCTCTTGTAGCCCATAATCTTATCAATTACGCAAAAGAAATGGGAGCGGCGTGCGCGTTGCGTGTCGCGGCTACAGAATGAGGCAAAAGGCATAATGCTTTTTGTCCGACTATGAATTGCTTGTAGAGCTTGCGGCGACACGCAACGCGGCGCTTTCTCGTCTAATCAGAACCATAGTCCATTACCCAACTTAAATTCGGGTGCCATGCGCGTTGCGTGTCGCGGATGTAGGGAATCCATGGGCGACAAAACACCTAGTCTATCTTGCCCAAGTTTTTAGAGAATTCAGTAAAAATCTAAAAATATTTCCAGAGCAGTAGCAGAAAACCCCAGACGAACTAAACCTAATCATATTTTTAACCCCTGTAAAATTTAATAAAAAAAATATAAAAAACTAGAAAGCCAAGAAACTAAAAACCCCAGACGAACACCCGCCAGAAATGCAACCAGCCGGTTGGCCGATTTTCCGGGTAGAGTGCAGCAGCAAAATGCGGAAATGGCATTCGGCTGGCCAGTCCCCGGTGTTGGGGCGTGTAAATTCGGGGCGGCGAGGGAGGGCGGAAAAGGCATAGCAAAAAACTCGGCAAGGCCATGGAGCGGATACTATGCAATCGATCCGGGGTCGCCGGTTCAGCGGGGTGGCGAAAAATCGGCGAGTATTGGCGAGGTAAGTCTACAAACATGGCGGGGGCCCCCGATCACATGGGGGGCCGAGTGGTGCGGCGGGGTTCGGTGGACTCGCCCGGTACACCGGCGACCACCTCTACTTTCATTTTACTTTTGGGGGCAACGACCACGACGTGGTGTGCTTGTTTGTTTGGCTTTTTGCTGGTTGTGTATGTTGGGGGGAGCGCCGCGGAAAATTGAGAAACGGGGCAAGGCCAGGTGGGGTCAGTTAATTGCGGGCAGTCAAGGGGATTTATTAGCGGGGAAAGAAATGAAATCTGGAGTTTAATCCTATTTTCAAGAAAGTCAATTTAGTAACAAAAGAAAAACAGAGCAAATTTTCCATTGTGGATTCATTCCTTAGCGCGGCGAAAAATAAAGAGCGCATTTTTTCATTCCATAAAGAAGTCAATTCTGATTCCTGTACGATGTTGATTTTTGCAAAATAAATATCCCTGATTTTTGCAAAATTAAACGAATTTCAGTTTTAAGATTTAACTAAAAAATGAGTTTAGTGCTACAAAAAATTGTGGGAATTCGATAAAACCTGAAATCGTCATTTTCTAAAAAATGAGCCGCCGATAATATTTTAGAATGTAATTTTCTATGGAATGGCATATTTTTTGCCGTTTTCCGGATGAACAGAAAAAACAGCACTTTTTTAGAAGCAAAAAAGAGCAAGAAGAGACCGTTCTAACCTGCAAAATTTGGACCGAATATCCAGGGCACACTGCGCCGACTTTTCATCACTTGTTTGTATGCATGCTGCTGTTTTTGTGCCCTTTCGAAAGGAGGAGCAAGAGCGGAGAGCAGCACACGCGCAGGGGAGGCCCCGAATGGCTGATGGGAGGGTGCCCTATTTTTCGGCGAGCCGGCGGGCCACGCAAGAATCACTGCAACATGAAAAAACAAACGCGCGAGCGCGTGTGTTCCGCAGACGCTTATTGTTCATGTCTGGCGCGACAGAAGGGGGCGGAAGCCATAAGTATATTGTTAGTAGTATAGTATATCGTTCCTGTGGAAATGTCATAGGCCCGGGGTGCTATCGGCCAATTTCCGGGCAAAAAAAAAGCCTGGCCAAAAAGTAATGGACGAGACGACAGGAAATAACTATAGCACCTCGAAAAAAGCGACGGCAAAAGCCAATATATCCGGAGAATTATTATGACGGGCTTTAGGACCAGCGAATCAAAAAAACGGGTTCTGTTTCGTTAGTGGGGGGGTCTCTTCTTGGATCTTGGCTCCCTGGTATTAAAAAAATAGGACTGTATGGAATTTTGACCAAATTGTCCAAAATTTTCGATTTTTCATACGTTTTGAAAATTAAAAGGGGCGTAAACCACCATTAAAATATCATTTTGACTATAGGGATCTATAAACCACCATTAAAATATCATTTTGACCATAGGGATCTACAAGAAAATAGGAAAAGTGAGCCCCAACTAACGAAACAGCACCCAAAAAATCGCAAAATTGATGTTCAGAGAAAATGGATGTCAAATGACCGGGTCCGCCGGTGAATCAAAAGCAAGCGCCGTCGGAGCGGATTAAAAATTTGCCTTTTCCCGAGATGCCAAGGCGGGGCTGTTGGTGGCAAAACGATTAGGGATGTCGAAGGGAAGGTGTGTGTGTGGGGCTGGCTGCTGTGCAGATGTTTGGAATTTTTAATCGCATCCATCAGCTATGACGGAGGCCGCGGCGGCCGGGTGGGATCTCCGGAAATGTGCGTTGGCGAAATATCCGTTGGCTAATGGACGGATGGCTAGACCGGGGGTTGTCGTCTCGAGGCGAGGAGGTGAAAATATTTCGAGGAGAAATGGGGTGCCAGGGGGACGTGGATGGGAGAAGCAGGAAGTTATCCCCCGGAACGCCTTCTGGGGGAGTGAAATTTGGAAATTTTTAGGAGGCGGATAAGTGGTTTTTGAAGTACCAGAAATTTTCTAGGGTTAAATTTAGTGGGTTTTACGAAGAATGAGGAATCTTTTGGTTAAAATTAATTTAATTTATGGTGCCTATATTCCAAAGAAACAGGAATCCACGAAGGAGAAAACGGCGAAAATTTATGAGTTGGCGAAAGTTAAATTTTGTACTTTTTCAAAAAGAGTGCAGTACGCAACTGTCGACTTTCCAAACTAAGCGGTATAGTATCTCAGCGTATTGTCAAAGGTTCGCAAAAAATTTTTGAGTTCGAAATTCCATCGATTTTCGATCGAAAAAAAACGAATTCCACATTGACACCAGCATGCACCGAAATTGTAAAACGCCGAGAAAATGGGGGAAAGGGCCACTAGAGCGAGAGAGAAAAGGAGAGGAGGGGCCCAGGCTCGTCGAGGCGTACGCCGCTGTGGCCCACGGCGGTGCCGGCAATTCGGGCAGGTGGTTTACACTCCCCGGAAAAGATCGCCTCGGCAAAAGTGGCTGAAAACAAAGAAGGACTGGGGGCATGAGATGGCGGCTGGTGGGGGAGTGTGTGTGTATGTGGCCGTATTTCGACCAGTCAAATGGGATCCGCTCGCAACTCGGCCCGAGATCAATTGGCTCATCTTATCGCGTTGGCTTTTCCGGGGGTGCCATTTGTCCGCGAGAGAACGTTGGTGAGAAATTGGAAAAGCGCGGATCGGCTCATAAAAAGGTGAAAATGACCGTGGATGTATCTATCAAGCAGTAATATAGAGGGACCCGAAAATGATATACATAATACACCTTATAATTTGCTGTAATTAGTACTACCAGCTCTTGGTACAGCCAAAAGTTCTTTCGCATTATCGGGGGGACGAAAATTCTTTTTAGGAGCCAATTTTACAATTTTATTGAAGGATAGAAAAAATATAGATTTTTCGATCAAAAATGGCCGTTTTTGACCAAAATTCCGAGTATTTGAAAAAATTTGTAAGTTCTTAGATTGTTTTACATTACTAAAAACATGAAAAAATGTCTATTAAGTTACTAGGCATTTTTAGATTAAGATATAACAAAAATTCGTGCCCCCCCCGATACTGCGAAAGAACCAAGCCTGAAAATCCAGACAATTGCTGAAAGAACAAAACGCCTGGCCGTAGCCAAAGATCCGCCAACTCGCAAAATGCGGAAATGGCCGTGGATCTATCAAGCCGTAAAGCAACCCCGAAAATGGAAAATACACCCTATCATTTACTGTAATAAGCACTACCAGCTCAAGAAAATAGATTTTCGCTACTATAGCCAAAAATCTAGACAATCGCCGGAAAGGACAAAACGCCGCCCGGACGCAGCCACAGATTAGCCAACTTCCCGGCGCTCCGGGCACCAATTAACGGCCGGAACGAGGTGGTTTCTGGGGTTGGCAGCCAAAAAACATGTGATTTCCAGTGAAATTGCTAGCCGGCCCAATCGGTAACCGTGGCAGACCGAGTGTCGATCGGCGATTTTGCGGCGTTAGCCATAAATCCGGTTCGATCAGCTTTTTATCGGGAGGTGGGGGGATGCCTGGCGGCGATTGGGGGCGAGAACAGGGATATTAGCGAGTCTCGATGGGGATCTGATCAGCTTGGCGTTTTTACGATGATCGGATCTGCCGGGATGATATTTGGGATCGCGCCAGGACAGAGCAAAATCCGTTTTTTAAATATCCTAAAAATGGCCAAAATGGGTGATTCCATAATCGTCCAAAATGGATCGGTCGCTTTAAAAGATTTGTCCTCTAGAATTTTTTAGTGAATTCACAATAATTTCCGTTAGCCGACAAAGGGAGTCACGAAAAAAACAAAAATTATGTTCTCAAAAAAACAGGGAAAAGGCTGATTTCTAAGCACTAAAAAATAGGTTAAAGCCATTATAAAGTCCTAGAAAGCAGTCACAAGAAAAT